TTGGACGATACTAAATTCATGGTATCTTTTTTCATGGGTATTTCCCTTCCTTACTGATGCCCTCTGCAGTGGTAACTTTATCGGTGTTGGATCGTGCAGTAAACAAAGAAAGAGATGATTTTGGAAAACTTGGATTCAATGAACCATGCTAGAACTGCTGAAAATTTCCATCAAAAGCACTGTCCTCTTGGTATTTCCGAAATGACTTTAGCAAAAGTTATGAAAAGTAATTAACGAAAAAGAGATTCCCAAAATAGAAGGAGGGCCATGGGTTCAATTGTCCGACGACTAAAGCATTTTATTTTGAGTAAATTAAAAATTTTGAAATCTTAATAAGGCATCACTACTTGCTTGCAAGAATCTTTTCTAACTTATTACTACATTGATTGATCCGGTGTATTTCACTCAAAATTGCTATGATAAAAATAACATCGCGAAGTTTGATTGAACGATTAAGAATTCAGCTGCGAGTCTCTTGCCAACCAATGAATGATTGAACGAATTTATACTGTGAAATAAAAATTCAAATGTAAAATAAACATTGCTAGAATTAAAACAGTCTTTTTAGAATATGGTAAACAGGCGCATTTTTTAAATTTAAAATTCTGAAAAAAAAACCAACCGCTTTGTATTTAACTGCGGCTAATACGAGGGCGGTTCAATAAGTACCCGTGTTTGAAGACAGAGGACGTTCCTGAGGGAAATTGGTATTGTCATCGTGTGCAGCCATCTATCAAACCACGTCAAAACGAATTTCAGACTGATTGATAGGTTAGTTTGGATTTGACAGCCATTCCACTCAGACGTGCTTCGTTATTTTCGCTAAGATGGAAAAAGAGCAGTATCGTTCGGTAACCCGCTTTTTGTTTTTGGATGGGAAAAAATGCGAGGAGATGAAAACAAAGTTGGATACTGTTTATGGAGACATTTCGCCATCTACGACCACAGTTAGATATTGCTTCAACGAATTTAAACGTGGGCAAAGATCCGTTTTTGATAGGAGCGACCAGGAAGCCTGGCAAACGTTGTT